GGTCTGTCTGTCTGTCTATCCGAGAAGGCTGTAAAGCACTGGGAAGGGCTCTATGTCTGCTATTTCTATCTGTCCGTCCATCCATCCATATCTACCTACCTACCTACCTTATCTATTTACCTGTCTACCTGTCTTATCTGTCCCACAGTCATAGGGCTGAATCAAACCTCCCAGAATTGAACTTCAAGTGTTGGATCAGCCACAACTTCTGGAGGCGAGCTGTTCTAGGGATTAATTGTCAGGGAATTTCTCCTTAGTCCTAAATTAGATCTCTCGTTGATTACTTTCCACCCATTACTTCTTGTCCTGCCCTCAGGTGCTTCGAAGAAGAGGTTGACGGTGTTGAAATGAATGTCAGGAGGGGGCCCCAGTTGTATTTTTCACAAATGGCAGCCTGATCAGGTCCAAATGGTGTCCATACCACCCAAACAGCGGGCGGTTATGGTTCAAGGGTAAAAAGCCAAGTTACTTTCCTGCAGGTTGAAAAGCACCTCTCAGAAGTAAATTGCTTATTGTACAAAGGGCCTTTCCAACTTAGCGGGTATAAGCCTCGGGGCAGATATATCCACATGGTTTGTTCCATCCCCTTCAATAGAATGTCAATTTGCTAAATATTTTTTTTTTCCCTTTAAAAGCAACTGTGCAGTGGTGGGTTGAGTCTGTAGGGGGGCGGAAGTTTAAAACAAAAAAACAGAGCTGTAATATTGGCCCTTTTCTCCAGAAAAAAAGCACGTTTGGAAACACACTTTCAATTTTTTTAATATATTAATCCTCCCCCCCCCCCTTCTCGTTCCTTTAAGAGAGATCTTTTAAAAAATTAGACAGCAGGACGTACAGTCACAATATTTCCTTGCGTATTTTTATCCCAAGGTAACAGCTAATTAGAGGGAACCACAACACACAAATAGATATCAGAGGACCGTGCCAGGCTTTAGCACAATATGTCTACAGAGATTCTCAGCCATCCAGGGTTTTTTTTCCCCTCCGAGGCAACTGGACATTCTTGTTTTTTCCTTTGAAGATGTTTCACTTCTCATCCAAGAAGCTGCTTCTGCTCTGACTGGATGGTGGGGAATGGAAGGATTTAACGCTCCTTTCAGACAGCTGGTCATTTGCATCCTTTTAGAGGATCATTGAGGCTACTTGGAGGTTTGTCTGTGTCCTCAGGGTCACCTGAGTGGTGCAAATGGGTGTGGAGCTTTCTTGACACTGTTGTTGTTGTACATGTGATTTTTCTCCCCACCCCCACCCCAATGGGACTCATGTCTAATTTCCTTGGCGTTTCTTCTTTCTTAAGGCCTGCAGCAAAGTGCAAAATAGTCCTCAACCTATGTCCACAACTGAGCATAACATTTATGTTGCTAAGCGAGACCGCTGTTAAGTTAAGGACCTTTGGGACTTCCAACACAGTAGCAAAGGAGAGACGGTTTAAGCCAGTGGTTGCAGCCCACTTCTGTTTTGCAACCAAGGGGCCCCCATGCTCCTGTACAAAACAATCCTCTTCCAGATCTCTGGCTGCAAGTTTTGCATCTTTTCATCCCCAACATTAAGTACTTTCCATTTGCCTCGAGCAATTCTGCTTTTCTTCTCCATTATGTTCTCTTTCCCCCCCCCCCACCCCAAAAGCTAGTAGCAAGCACAGGTCCCTCTAAGCTTGCTGTGGCCTCCCTTGTGTGTGTCAAGGCAGCTGTTTTGATTGCCCAAAGGTCTTGGATGGATAACTGAGCTTACCCTTAATCCATAGTAAAGAACTAGTTGTCTGAAAAAAATCCCAAAACTCCTGGGGAAAAGCTTACTGCTTTTGTCCAAACAATGATGCGGCCAGGCGTGACATGCTCAGAAGGGGATTCCATAGCATAATTCTGTTTTTGCGGGGAGAGAAGTCTTCTTTTTGGGGAGAGGGGATGTCAGAGTAGGCCTTTGAAGGAGCGCACGGTTGCAAATAGTTAAGAGGCCGAGGCAAAAATGGGTGGGCGGAACCAGCCCCTTTCTGATAACTTGCTTTCTGGGTTCATTTTTCTTCCTCTATGTCCTACCCTGGTCAGAACAGGTGTTTTTTTTTTTCCAAAAATGAGAATTAAAATTCAGCCAAGGGCAACACAAATGAAACTGGGAGGTACATCCTCCTCTATTCTATTAGACTGTTCCCCCTTCTCTCCCCTTACCTCAACAACAAAAGACACCCTTGGCAACTGGCAGTGAAAATATTTATTTGTATCCTGCCTTTATATTTTTTTACAAATAACTCAAGGTGGCAAAGATATACTTTCCTCCTTCACAACAGCAACCCGTGTGAATTGTCTTGAGCTGAGAGAGAGGGACTGGCCCAAAGTCACCCAGCCAGCATCTATGACTAAGGCAGGACTAGAACTCACCATCTCCTGGTGATTGACCCAAAATTACCCAGCCAGCTGTCACAGCTAAGATGGGACTAGAATTCACAGTCGCCTGGCAATTGATGACCTACAAGGTCCCTTCCAACTCTAGTAATCTGTAATCTGTAATTGACCTAAAGTCACCCAGCTAACTTTCATGCCTGAGATTGAGACTAGAACTCACTGTCTCCCGGTTCCTAGCCTGGCGCCTCAGCCACTAGACCAAACAGGCTTCAACTAGCAATTGCTGCTTTACAGATAATCCTTTCTCTCCCACAGTGTCATTTGCACCCATCAGCTTTGCAATCCGGGCCAAAGAAAACGACATGCTCCCCTTGGAGAAGAACCGGGTGAAGCTCGACGACGATAGCGACGAGGAGGAGGAGGAAGGCAAAGAGGGCCAGGAGAACGCCAGCAGCACCTCCACCAGCGCCACCCTCCTTACCCCTTCCAGCGGTGCCCCGGAAGAGAAAAAGCCCCAGCTGACCCAGGAAGAGCTGGAAGCCAAGCAAGGTAGGGATTGTATGGTCTGGATCAGCTGGGATTTATACACCATCCCGTTTGAAAGCTAATTCTGCATAGACGGGGCCGAAGCATTGCTAGAAGGGGGCGGTGGGAAGAGGGCAAAAGAAATACGACTCTCTGTGTGTGTTGATACACAAATGTCGATGGGGATTCTCAGCCATCCAGGTCATGGTTTTGTTCCATGAGGCAACTGGACTTTCTTGGTTTTTCTTTGAAGACGTTTCGCTTCTTACCCAAGAAGCTTCTTCAGCTCTGCCTGGATGGTGGGGAATGGAAGGATTTATAGTCCTTGCAGACAGTTGGTCGTTTGCATCCTTTTAGAGAGACGTTGAGGCCACTTGGAGGTTTGTCTAGGTCTAGGGTCACCTGAACACAGTAGTGCAAATGGGTATGGAGCCTTCTTGGAACTGCTTGAAAGGACAATTTTGTGAAGTTGTGCTTCCCGCAGGATGTTTTCTGCCCGGTGTCCCCTTCACTGTTCAAGACAGGCGCAGGTTGCTGGGGATGAGTCTCCTGTTGTCTGCATCTCAAACTGAAGCGCAGATGGTTCCTGTAAAAGCCTGCAATTTTTCTGGAAATCTTTTCACAGTCCTGCCCCATTTGAAGGATCTTCCTCCCAAAGTGCATAGCTAAAAGTCTGCGGAGATTCTCAATCCTCCGGGTCATGGTTGTCCCAAATGTGCTTTTTTTTTTTTTTGCCCCAAGAGGCAACTGGACTTTGTTATTTTTTTTCTTTTGAAAACGTTTCAGTTGTCACCCAAGAAGCTTCTTCAGCTCTGATTGGATGGAGGGGAATGGAAGGGTTTATATTCCTTGTAGACAGCTGGCCGTTTGCATCCTTTTGGAGAAACATTGAGGCCACTTGGAGGTTTATCTGTGTCCTCAGGGTCACCTGACCGGTGCAAATGGGTGTGGAGCCTTCTTGGCACTGTCGTTGATATGCATGTGATTTTCATTTTTTGTAACTAATCAAGCGCACGAAGGGAGGGTCAGCCAATCTCATTGTACCCATGTTGTACTCTGACAATAAAGGTAGTAATAATAATAAGAGAGACCCAGCTTAGAACTAAGGAGAGATTTCCTGATTGATAGAACAATTCACCGGTGGAAAGATTTGCCTCTCGACGTTGTGGTTTTCTCCCTGAGCAAGGAGGTTGGACTAGAAGACCTCCAAGGTCCCTTCCAGCTCTGTTATTCTGTTTTAACTTTCTAACTGCAAAAGCTATTAGCCAGTGAAGCAGGCTATTACATGAAGCAGTGAGTTCTGTTTCAATAAAGATTTTGAAAGCGAACATCCTACGTAGCACAACACACATACCCAGAATCATTAAAATACCAGCTCTTTAATGAAGCATTAAATCTACCGGGCGCCTCCTCTGAGGATGAAACCATACCTACATACTAACCGAGATCAATGCAGTCAAGAGTGAAATGCCAATGCGTAGCACACCAGAACGGTCTTTTCCATTGACCAAATCAAAGCTGAAGGCAAATGCGTTATTCCATGCTTCCCCGATCAGAGATTCGTAGAGTTGCAAGGGACCTTGGAGAAAATATTAGGAAGCAAGTATTTTTTGAAAGCAAACAGGAATCTCACATCACTAGTCAAAAGAGACCGCCCATACATTATCAGGCATAAATAACCAGTAGCAAAGCAAGGAAAAGTTTGTGATTGTTGCCTAGATAGAAGAATCCGGTCAACTAATGGTCCAAAAAGGAGAATATTTGTAGCTCAGGGTTGAAATGAGGGGTCCTTGGTCCTCTCTGAGCTTGGTTATTTTCTTGCAGACATTTTACTACCCAAACTAGGTAACATCAAACTAGCACTGATGATGGTACCTATTTTGGTAATGAAACGTCTGTAAGAAAATAACCAAGCTCAAAAAGCACCAAGGACTCCTCAACTAACAGTCAAAATTAAATTGGCGTTGGATAAGGGTCACCAGAATTCATTGGGGTTCTGGGCCTCTTGTGGCTACACAATGACTCCAAACTACTGACATGCTTAACCCCACCTTCCATCTCATCCTGTTCATCTCCTGCACACAAAACAATTATGAAGTGTGTTTGAACTTCGTTATATCTTCCAAGAGGGTGAAATTGTATAGTTTTGTGGTTCTTGGTGTCATGTAAAGCACTGTCCTAGGCTGAACTGGAGTTGGGTAGTTGATCAAGCTCACTATCATCTCGGCTTGCATTAAATCAGCCCACCCATTAAATTGTCAGAGTGTGCATTGTTTGGACATGCAATCTGTAGGCAGCAATTACAGTTACTTCCTTCCGGTTTGTTGCCCAGAGCAGTTTCTCAGTTTCATGGACATCTGGCCCCAGAATTCCCAGCAGCGGCTGTGCCAGCAAGGAATTCTAGGAATTGAAGCTTGCACACATCTGCAAGTTGTGTGAATGCAGCCATGAAATAACTCTCCCTTCCCTTTGGCTCTTGTCGGCTCGTGCAAAGACGAAAGAGAAGGAAATACAGGTAGTCCTTAACTTACAGCAGTTCACCTCTAGAACTGTCTGGTTTGGTTCTGCAACCCAACAAGACAGACACAGACTCCAGAGGATAATTAGGACTGCAGAAAAAAACAGTTGCTACCAACCTGCCTTCCATGGAGGACCTGTATACTGCACGAGTCAAAAAGAGGGCTCTGAAAATATCTACAGACCCCTCACATCCCAAACATAAACTGTTTCAACTCCTACTCTCCAAACGACACTATAGAGCCCTGCACACCAGAACAACTAGACACAAGGACAGTTTTCTCCCCGAAAGCCATCACTCTGCTAAACAAATAATTCCCTCAACACTGTCCAACTATTTACAAAGTCTGCACTACTATTACTGTTAATCTTCTCATCAGTCCTTATCATCCATCCCCTCCCACTTGTGACTGTATGACTGTAACTTTGTCGCTTGTATCCTTACAATCAACAAATGTTGACTGTTTCCTAGTATGATTTGACCGCTTATTGTACACTATGACTATCATTAAGTGTTGTACCTTATGATTCTTGATGAATGTATCTTTTCTTTTATGTACACTGAGAGCATTTGCACCAATAAAAATTCCTTGTGTGCCCAATCACATTTGGCCAATAAAGAATTCTATTCATTTAGTCACCATTCAAAGTTACATCATCGCTGAAAAAAAGTAGCTTATGACCATTTTTCCACACCATTGCAGCAGCCCCCGTGGTCACATGACCAAAATTTGGATGCTTGTCAACTGCTTCATATTTATGACGGTTGCAATGTCCTCGGATCATGTGATCCCCTTTTGCAGCCTTCTGACAATGGAGAAGCCAGTTTGTGTTAACAGTGGTGTTACTCAGCAACTGCAATGATTCACTTAACAACCTTGGCAAGAAAGGTTGCAAAATGGGGCAAAATTCACTTAACAGCTGTCTCATTAAGCAATGGAAATGCTGGTCTCAATTACGGTTGTAAGTCGTGGATTACCTGTAGGAAATGTGCACTGTAAATCAGCAATGCTGGCTTATTTTATACAGAGGTAGCCATCACATACAAAATGTATCTGCTAGTAAAATAACCGAGCCATTCATGGTCCTTGACATTTGCTATATCAAACCCAAAATAAATGAGGCAGGGGAGGAAAGGAAATGTTATTCTCCTTTCCATTTTTCCTTTCCTGAAAGAATGGCGCTTGGGTGATAATTAAATCTGCATTTATGTGTGTCTAATTCAATAAAATGCAGCAGCGTAATTTGATAAGAGAAGTTTCACCAAGCAGCCACAGCCATAGGGTTGACTTTGAGCTGCTGCGGAAAGACTCCTCCACAAAGTGCAAACATATTATTAATTTTAAAATTGTGAAGCCATTTGCAAATAAAATTGACTGTTTTTCATACACACACACACACACATTAATTACAAGAAGTCTTAGAAGGCAGAGACAGATGATTACTGCTCGGTATTTTATTCTATGTCTGCAGGTTAAAAAAAAAAGAAAGACATGGCAGGCTGAATTTAAGTGGAAATCATTCTCTTTCTTTAATATTCGAAACATAGGCAATATTTTGAAACACTGCTTACAAATCTTGATAAAGTCCCTTTCTAATATCCTTCCACAGATGTACATTCAGACTAAAGCAAAGCCATTTCGTTTGTCAAATATCAATGAAATGCGAAGCTTGCTGGGAAACCAGACCCAACAGAGATCACTATTGTTTTTTAAATGGTTCTGTTTAAACCCAGATCATTCATCCAGGAAGTGTGAATGGATGCCCTAAATTATACAGAATATCCTTATTAATAAAGGCTGCACATACCAAGGCCACACAGAGTTGCCTACCACCACGGTATGGGCAGCTTATAAATTTTAGAATAACAATAAATGAAGTTTAAAGTGGCTTCCCAGAGGGGTTCAGATCCACCATTTGAATACTCCCACATTATGAGAAATCACCTGACTCTGGGGGCTAAGACAATCTAAAGCAATGGCACTTAGACTTATATACCGCTTCATGGTTCTTTACAGCCCTCTCTAAGTTGTTTACAATCAGCATCTTGCCCACAGCAGTGAGGTGGGTCCTCATTTTATCGACCTCAGAAGGGATGGAAGGCTGAGTCACTCTAGAACCGGTGAGACTCGAACTGATGGCAGTCGGCAGAGTTAGCCTGCACTACTGCGTTCTAACCAGTGTGGTTCTAGAACTATTTCATAGAGCCAAACTATTTTATGCAAGCAAACCCATGGAAATGGTTAAAGAAAACATGCTTTGACAAACTGTATAAGAAGCCTTAATTTATTTAAGCCACAGCTCTTTTACATGTGTGAGTGTATTCAGGAGGGTTTATTTTATGAGGGCAGGGCAGTGATTATAAATGGCAGGAGGCCCTTTAATTAATTGTGACTTACAGCTCCAGCCAAGTAATGATTCAGAGGCAGGTCGTGTCAAGGGGCAGACATCTGAACGGTTGGTCTCTTCTTGAAAGCATGGAAACGAAAGGCGAAGAGATGCAGGGGTTTTTTTTTTTCTCCCAAGAGCTGTGTTGGTTGGTTCTTGGCAGTTTTTCCCTGCCTGTTTTCCTCCCCATTTTGTTCCAAAACCTGCAGCGCCAACAGTGTCGCATTGGACTTACCGGGACCGTGAATTCACTCGTCCACAAGGCACTCTGAGTGATTTAAGCCTCGTTCACTGTCCATCCGCACTTAAAACTTGGAGAGCACCACTGCCTGATAAAATCAATGGGGTTTTTTTTTTTTTCAATCAGCAAGCCAGGCTAAGAGAAGCATTCATAACATGACGTGGCTTAAATGCGCATCTTCCAAGCTTGCAATTGTCACACGTACAAACACACACAGGCTATTTTAATTAGCACAGCTAGCGACAAGAAAAGCTGTTGAGCGTACATCTACCTTCTGTCTCCATCGCTTGGTTCTAGCACAGCATTGGAAAATGTCTGCATAAGCAGAAAACATTTCTATGGTAATTGTACCCATTGTGGGAGAGGCAGGGAGCTGCACCAACTAAGAAATAATTAGAATAAGAAATAATTAGCAAGACAAAGGAACACATGACAGCGACCAGCGAGAATGTTTAACTTAGTTTAGAAACTAGTTCTTGGAAGCATTGTTTCCCATCTCTCCAATTTATGCCCCAATTAATCTTCCACTCTATTGTGTAATGCTTAAATTTCCTTTAACTTGGAGTCTCTGCTTGGCGTTGGAGGTAGCTGGGTTATCTGCCTTCTGCTTCGTTCATCCAGCATTGGGGCAGAGTCGAGTCCTTTGAATTTTTGCGATACACAAGATAATTAAGCTCGGTCTTTAGCTTAATAGGAGATGGTGAGAACAATTCTGTGGGAGAGCCAGAAAAAAAATAGACAGTAGATTAGAGACTGTTACGTCGCACACCTCTGGGCCCAGCCTAAGTCTCAGTTCTGTTGTCTTTTGCAGCCTTAGTTCTTAGTAACCAGGATCCAACAGTTACTGCCACATTCCAGCTTGCTCTGCCCTGAGTTGGGCTCTATTTTTTTCAAAGTCTGTTTTGTCCAGGCCTTGTTTGAGTTCTTTCTGTAGTTCCTAGCTCCAGCTCAAGAGACTAGGTGCTCCTTCAGAAGGTCTCTCTGGTCATGCCTAACATCTGGATGTCGTCAATAGAAGAGAATGTTTGTAGCTCGGGGTCCTTAGTGGTCTCTGAGCTTAATGGTTTTCCTGTGGGTGTTTCATGACCTAACTAGGTAACATCACCAGTGCTAGAAAGGAATGGGATTTGCAGAGTGGAGGAGGAAGAGGTCTGTAGGGTTCTTGATGCTCTCTTGAGCTTGGTGGTTTCCTTGCAGATGTTTCATTACCCAACTAGATAACTTCATCAGCGTTAGGAGTGGTTGAGATTTGTTCTTTGTTTCATCTCTGTCCCTAATAACCTTTTCTCAGAATTTATGGCAGCCTCATCTTTGTTATTTCATCTTAGTCCTTTGTTCTTTATCATGTCTTTGGTTAGCTAATGAAAAGCCATCTTTGAAAATCCCCGCTGTTTGATGTTTTTAGAGCAGTCACAGCATTTCATATTCTTTTTTTTTTTTTAAGAAACTTTTGTTCTGCCTCTCACACATTTTTCAGGTCTTCTTCCAAACAATCTTTAAAAGGCCATGTAAATTTTGGGTGTTGTTTTTTTTTAAAGTTGCCTGATTTTCAGACAAGAATGCAGCTTGGCATAAGAAATGGTTGGTCTCCCATACGCCTTAAGTTAAATGACAATCTCTTTTCTTTTCCTCCTCCTCCGCCACCAGCAAAACAGAAGTTAGAAGACCGGTTGGCAGCCGCAGCAAGAGAAAAACTTGCCCAGGCTTCCAAAGAATCGAAAGAGAAACAGCTCCAAGCAGAACGAAAGAGAAAAGCCGCCCTCTTTTTGCAGAATCTGAAGAATCCACTGGCAGACATGGAAGTTGAAAAAATGGAGGAAAGTGCCTTTAACATGGAGGTGAGCAAAGGAGTTTAAACCACAGTGGGAATTTGTAATGGCAGGTGGGGAAAAACCTTGAGGGAGGGGACAAAGAGATGCTGCCAAGGGAAGCGTCCGATAAGAGACTGCATAGCCCAGAGCGGCATTAGAAATGGAGGAAGATGCTCAGAAGGGACTCTCCCTCGTTTCTCAGGCTGTAAAGGAGGCGACGGTAACGGTAGATGGGAAAGACCTCAGGAGAGGGAGGGAAGGAAGGGATGCTGCCTATGAAATGGTCAGATAAGAGACTGCATCATAGTCTTTAAATGTCATTGTTCTGAGTAATGACTGAGTAATGTTCTTCTGACTTCACGGAAGTCAGGACTCTGGCACTTCGTTCAGGTTCAAGAGATTCTTTATTGAGCGCATCATATCGGCACTTAGAAAGGTGAAGCTCTAAATTATTCCCGCGCTTAGGGATAGTTAAAAGAATAAGACCTCCCCACTCGCCTTTGTCTCTCGGGTCACGTGGGCCAATCGGTTCAGATGTAGGTTCCTGCTGAACTTCTAACAGGTGTCCGTTGACATAACCTTGGTTCTCTCTCTGGCTGGTAGATGTTATGGCTAGCTGGCTGAAGCACCACATTCCTGAGTCGTCCGTTTCCCCCCCCCCCCCAATTCTCCCCCTCTCCCTTGAATGGCAACCAAGAAACAAAGCAGAAATAAGTATGAAGTACTTTTGCAGGTTGACACCCAGAGCTTTACAATTGGTGGAGAAAGGCTCTCAGGAGACACCCTCCCTAGTTTCTTAGGCTGTAAAGAAGATGGCATGTGAGAAAGACCTTGGGAGACAGGGAGTAAAGATGCTGCTCAGGGAACGGTCAGATAAGAGACAGCATAGCCCAGAGCTGCATAACGGGCGAAGGAAGAGGCTTAGAAAGGACCCTCTCTAGTTCCTTATCGTTTAAAAGAGATGGTTGCTATGGTGTGTAAGAAAGACACCGAGAAACAGGACAGAGAGAAGCTGTTTAGGGAATGCTCAGATAAGGGAATGATCAGATAAGAGACAGTGTACCCCACAGGTGCGTAAAGGGCGAAGAAAGAGGCTCAGAAAAGACCCTCTCTAGTTTCTCATCCTGTAGAGGAGATAGCTATAATGGTATGTGGGAAAGACCTTGGGAGACAAAACAAAGTCACATTATTATTTAGGGAACCGTCTGATAAAAGAAGGCATGGCCCACAGCTGCATAACAGATGAAGAAAGAAACTCAGAAGGGACCCTCCCTAGTTTCTCAGGTTATAAAAGAGACTATTATACTTTCAGACTTGCAAAATTCTGTCAATGTAGTTTTGCAATAAAGTAGGATTACTTCCGTGAGTCGTGTTTCCCATCTGGTCTAGTAAGGCCGACAAAATTGCCAAGAGGCTGTTTTGAGGGCGGACAAGGGGAGAGCTACCGGCACTGCTGTAAACATTAGTATTGACTGAAAATTGAATAAGGAGTATTCTTTAAAGAAAGGAAGAAACAAATTGTCTAAAACGAACCATATGTTGGTCTTTGGGCATTGTGATTAATGGATTCGGCCCATTCTTCCTGAGATCTCCAAAGTGAGGCAAATCATCCACATTTTTAAAGGGCGGGGGATTTTTGTATTTGCTAAACTATGGGGTGGGATGCTAAGATTTGCATTTCTAATAAAAGCATACATTATTTGCATTTCCCAAACAAGTCCATGAACTGGAGTAAAATCCCCGTCAGATAACAACACGTTTCTTTCAAGGAGCAGCATTGTGTTGGGGGAAGCACGCACCAAGGCATGTCAAAAGCGCTCACCTATTGGAGAAACCACTTCACAGTAATGGAGCATATTAGGATAAATCCACAGGCTCATAAAGAAATGTGTTTGTGCCAGATGAAATGAGGAATTTTTCACCCCCTTCCAGAGTTATTAAGATTTACTTAAGGCTTTTTAAGGTTGTGCTAGTTGCAAACATCCTTTGAAACGTCAGCTGAGTTCTCCACGTCTTCTTCAGTCCTGGAGTTTGTTTGTTTTTTAAGACTTGGAATTTTCTTTTCTCAGTCGAGGTCAGGTATTTCAGGCAACGTTGCACGCTAAAATCAGAGCAAACGGTGGGACTGATAGCTATTTTGGAACAAGTACGAGGGAGTTTCTAGCCTTCAGCGTGTACCAGGCAAGAAACTGCTTGAAAACCGGAGGCAAGAAACTCACTTTGCTAATAACTGCATCCGCCCTTAATTCCATCAGGGCAGTGCATTAGAACCTATGGAAGCTTTTGTTTTATTAATTACCGCTTTTCTTCATCTTGCTTGTTTTGAAAGGGGTGGATCTGGGATCTGAAGCAAAAAAAATAAAATGAATACCCTAAAAAGCTCTGAGGAACGTAGTGTTGCCAGGAGCAACCTAAGAGTTCTGAAAATAGTTATCCCCGGAAATTTGGGGGCTTGCTAGCTAGCTAACGTGGCTCCTGAGAACGAGTTTGGGGGCCTTCAAAACCAGGGCAGAGCGAAATCAAATTAAATTCCTAGGGAACAAAAGAGTATTGTGCTTGATCTTTGGCACCCGAGAGCTAGCAGCAGCTGTCCAAGCCTTCTCATTAGGAAAAAAAAAAAAATAGTCTGTATTGAGAAAATAGATCTTTTTTTCCCCTCTCCCTTTAAGGGATGATCAGTCATAGCCGAAGCCCCCAAGGAGCAGATGGTTCTTTGGCTCTTCCGATCTATTTATTTAATCATCCCTGCCTGCAGTTGGGAGGCTGGCAGAGAAGTTGCCATTTTGCAAAGTGCCCACTCTTCCGTGCCTATAACGGGAAAGCTTCAGAAGTGTGTGGGAGAGACCCTGGTAGGCACAGATTCTCCCAGTTGAAGTTGGGAGGTGGTTGGTTTCCAAGCTACTGAAACCAAGTGGAGCAATAAGCGCTTCTCTTCTTAGCTTAGATCAGCGTTTGTCAACCTTGGCATCTTTTAAGATGGGTGGCCTTCAATTCCCAGAATTCCCTGGCCAGCAACTCGAAGTTGAGTTGCAGTCCACCCATCGTACATCCCATCCAGTCCAACCATAAGTACCTCTCTCTTTATCTTAGATCAGTGTTTCTCCAACCTTGATAACTTTTAAGATGTGTAGACCTTAACTCCCAGAATTCTCCAGCCAGCAAGCTGAAGTTGAAGTCAAGTTGAAGTCCACCCATCTTCTATCAAACCAAGTTCAAACAAGTGGAAGAATAGTACTTCTCTCCTTATCTTAGATCAGTGTTTTTCAACCTTGGCAGCTTTTAAGATGGGCGGACTTCAATTCCCTAGCCACCAAGCTGAAGTTGAAGTCAAGTTGAAGCCCACCCATCTTATGTCCAACCATAAGTATCTC